TTTGACCTAAAAACTGAGTATACTGAATATAGAAGTATTAGCAGGGAATACATATGAAACCCCATAAAGTCATTTCCACTATGTCTTCTTTAGCATATAGCCAAACTTTAAGCAATAAAACAGGACACACCTGCAGTATCTCTGTTTAATAGAGCCTCGAGGAAAACAAGAAGATGGGTATAGATGACTAGTTCCAAAAACTGGAAGTAAGATCATAACAGCAAGACATGAGAGTGAGAGAAATGAGTTTAAGAACAGAAAAGTAATGGCCCTATTTAATTATAAAATGCACAGTTAAGGGAGGGGAGTATAATTGTGGAGATGGAAGAGAAGGAAGGTTCGGGGAAAAACAAAGGAGGAGGCAACAGTGCTTGATAAGAAATGTACTCATTACCTTGTTCATGGAATTGTAACCCCTCTGTACAGTATTTTCACAATAAAAAACATTTAAAAAATAAAATGCACAGTTAAAACAAATACTAGGTATATTAAAAATGTACACTTGTCTAATCACATGAAGGAGCTCTATGATATCAGATCAGTTTTCTCTGCAACATACTAGACATATTGACCAGTGATTTCCTTTACATTTTCAATGTACTTGCTGGTGGAAAAAAGAAAGAGAAGTTCAGTCTGGTGAAATGTTAATAGTCTCTAACCCTATAGTGGGTTAGAAAGAACACTAAAGATCACTGGAACTCAGTCTGCTATTTTAAGGTCATGGTCCTTAATAAATGTTTCAATGCATAACACAACTCTACTATCCAGGCCAAAAGGAGTTTGATTAGTGTTGATTTCCCTCTGGTAAGTCATATTGAGTCAAGTGCTCACCTGGAAAAGAAAGAGGAAGTCCTGTCATACTACGGGCTAACAGTTAAGAGGGAGCTTTTCTAGCCAAGGAAAAATGACTAAGAACAATCTGCTTTCCTCCGTGAAACAAGCTCTGTTCTTATCTGGGCTCTTTGGTGGGCTTTTTATCTTTGGGTGAGAGAAAATGATTACATTAAGGATTGAGAAGAGTTCAAACCATGTTTCTTCCATCATGAAGAGAACAAGGCAAGAAACTAAGAACAGAATCAGGGTGGACACCTGTATAATTTGACATATAAGATAGGAAAATAAGTGGAAATCTAGAGCATGAATACTGGGCAAAGCTAGCTGGAAAAAGCAAAGTGATTATGTAGCAAGATTGCCAGTCATCTGTTTCTATAAAATAATGAATCTAATCATGGAATTACTGCAGCATGTTTTCATCAAAAGCTACAGCTCAGCTTTCAACTTTCCCAAAATGTGAGAGACTTCATTCTGAAGTTCAGCCTAAGTTTCTCACTCCTGTTGATAGTGTTAGGAGAATTTATTTTCTTGATTTTTCAATATACCTTTGTTGTTGTTGTTTATATTATTAATAAAATGATAGGTACTCATTTGGTATGGTTGAGGCAAATAAGTAAAACAAGGCTGTTGTTGTTATTTTAATTTTTGGAGCACAATATTTTTACTCCTAACTTTTTACTCTCCCTGGTCTGGCCACTATTGACAGTCTGATGGGCCTGTTGACGCTAAGCAAGCACTGATTTAAAGCTTTGTAACCTTTCACATCTGTTTATCTGTTTTCCTTGCTCATCAACTAGCAAGGACAGTGGCAAGTAGTTCCCCTCATCTCTTATCCAAAAAAAAGAAAAGAAAGAAAGCACTGGAGTAGATGTTTTTAAGATCTTTTTGATTCATCCTCAGTTCCCATGACTCTTAGTAAGAGTCTTGATTCCTTTCAATTCAGTTCAGTAGACATCAGCAGCTGAGCACAGATTGCACATTACACAGAGTGCTGAAGATGCAAATAGAGAGATGTCTTCTGGCCCGCCCATCATAAGGTGACGTGGCTAATACCACGCCTCTAACAAAAGGCAAATTAATAAGAGAAAAACATTAGAAATTTATGTGCTCACAGAAGACTTTGAAATAACAACCCAAAGATGTCCATTTTTATGTTTAAGTTCGATGAAGCATGGACAACTAGGAAGAAATATGATTGGACAAAAAGATATGACCTAATGATCATAGGCTAAGTAGGGAAACCCAGCAAGGCCTGTCTGTTCAGATTCTTGTTGGCCTGCCTGTGAAGTATTCCTTCCACCTGGCTATAGACAAGGACCCTTTCTCTGAAACGGTGGTCTTCTGATCTACTATCAGACAAGGTAGGTCAGAAAATTTCCTTATGGCCAGCTCGAAGATAGGAAGGCAGGGAGATATGAGAAAACTAGTTTCAAGCGTGACAGCTTGCTTTTGGGGAAGGGGATTCTAGTTTCTATCTCCTGCTTTGTGGAAAGGAATGTCTAGTTTCTAAAGCTTGTATTGGGCAAGAGAAAGAGACAGAAGACAGGAGAGGAGAGTATCAGAGAGAAGCTTTGGCTCTCACGCTGTCTCTGAGCTCTTCACTCTGGGGGTAGTATTCTCTGAGTTCCACTTTACACCAAGTAAAGTTTTATCTCTCTATTCAAGGCCCTTATGGAAGAAGAAGACAAATTATACAGTTATTAGCAATATACCAAGGTAGTAATGAAAAGTGCTTAAGGATTTAAGGACACTTCCCTTTAGGAAATGCTTTCTAAATGAGGTAGCATTTACCTGGTTTATAAACAAGATATATGTAGACATTGGGTAATGGAAGAAAAAATGCCATGCACATGGGTGAGAAGAGTGGGACTTTGCTAGAATGTAGAATGGACTGTAGGGAGAAGAGCAGGAAAATAGATTAGGGCTTCAATCCAGTCACCTTGAATGCCAAACCCAGAAGCCTTGATTTAATACAACATGCGAAGGGGATTTGAAGAAAGGAAGAATATGGTTAGGTTGGTACTTTAGATATTTGGTGCAATGTTGGTGTGAAGGATAATGAGAAACTAGAACATTAGATGGCAAAGAGATCAGTATATGTCAAATGTAGAAACCAAATAAAGTCAAAAAACACAGCCACTTTGTGAAGGCTAAAATTTGTTTGTGCCTTTAATTAAGTAGCACTATCGTACAATACTGTGAAATTTATGTATTCACTTAATATCAATAAAAAATTATTTTAAAAAACACAGCCAGAGTAAAAGCCAGGTGATTGGCAAATGATTGGATACAGGTTGGCAGGTATGAGGAATTAAAGATAAGTCCTTAGTCATATACCAAGCAACTAGATAAAGAAGGAACCAACAAGCCAGGCACCAGTGGCTCACACCTGTAATCCTAGCTACTCAGGAGGCTGAGATCTGAGGATCACAATTCAAATCCAGCCCAGGCAGGAAAGTCTGTGAGACTTTTATCTCCAATAAACCACTAGGAAACCAGAAGTGGCACTGTGGCTCAAGCAGTAGAGCGCTAGCCTTGAACTGAAGAGCTGAGGGATAGCGCCCAAGCCCAGAGTTTAAGCCCCATGACCGACAAAAAAAAAAAAAAAAGAAGGAACCAACAGAAGAAATAGAAAGTCTAGAGGACTGATTTTGAGGGAAAGGCAATAAACTTTGTTTTAAATTTTTGGAGCTAGAAGAACCCGGTAATATTTGATGGAAATGTAAGCTTCTTGAAGTTGGAGAACTGAATTATTCATCTTTCCCAGGTGCCTAATAGATGCTGCATGAACACTGAATGGACAAATGAATGACTATATCAGTAACTAGCTGCCATGTAGAATTGGGATTTGGAACTCTGAAAATAAATACAAACTAAAGATAGAAATGTGGATACTTTCTACTAAGAAGTGCTTGTGGAGGTCATGGAGAATGGGGTCTAAACAAAACTTGATGGGGGGAAAGTATTCAGGAATGTTACAGGGAAGAAAGCAACCAGTGGAAGCAGAAGAACAGAGAGCAAACTCGGAGGAAAGTTAGGATAATTCAGTGTTTTAGGGCAAATGGAGAACAAAGAGTTACTGGGGCCTACTATGACAAAAAGTCAGGGCCTGGAAAAAAAACACCCAGGAGTTAGAGGCTCTTAGACAAATAACTATCATTTCTACAGCCCCAGGCTAAACTCCTGAGGTTTGGAAGATATGAAAGGAAATGGAGACTTTGCATTGGAGAATAGAGAGAAGTCAGGAGCTTAGGGCCAGGTAGTTTAGTATTTTTAGAATAGGTAAAAGTGATCAAGAAAGAGAAGGAGACAGAAGGCATCAAAAATACCAAAACTGTGATACATATGTATACACAGTAGAATGAGATTCAGACTTTGAAAGGAAAGAAAGCCTGTCATTGACCACAAGAGAGATGAATCTGAACTATGCTCCATTAAATGAAACAACCCAGACCTAGAAAGACAAATACAATGTAACTTATATATGGAATCCAAAAAAGTTAAACTCAGAGAAGCAGAAAGGCAAATCATAATTACCAGAAACTGTGGACATGTTAGCCAAAGGATACAAAAGTTTAGTTAGACAGGAAAAATAAGTTAAGAGATCTTTGTTGTATGTAAGTGATGATAACAATCTATCATATACTGAAGTATATGAGTATATAGATTAGATTTTAACTATTTTTAAGACAAAAAGATAAATTTCGGATGCAATACATATACTAATTTAGCCATTCCACATTGTATGCATAGCTCAAAACATGCTGTACGCCACAAATATGTAGAATTTGGTCACCAATATATAAATAATAAATAATAATTGGAACAACATCAGAAGCAGCATTTGTGACAAAACTGAAAGACACTGTTCCCACTCACCTTAACTGACACACCTTTATTTCCAAATCAGAGCCACAAAAATAAGCTGGAAGGTGTGAGTGCTATTTATCTCAGAGCCCACAGGCAGCCAGGCAGAAAGTCTGAAAATGGAGTCTGAATGACATCTTCTCCATTTTCCCTTTCATGCTTTACCACTTTCTGGGGCAAAGATGCAAAAACCAGCCTCACCACCAAGTACTATCGTTGAATTATTGTCAATATAAATGACCACCATCATCATCGCCTACTCATTTAACAACCTTGTATTTGTTGTTGGTTTGTGCTAGATGCGGCTGCTCTCTGTCCCCTGCCCCAATGAACATCTGCACTAGGCCCAAGCCTTGGACTGATTTACCTGAAGAGTGACACCATTTGTTTGGAAACTACTGTGAGTATGTTATGCCAATGAAGACTTCTTAGTTCACGTTGCATAATTAAATACAAACACACTTGTGAAAAGCAGATCAAATTTTAGGTGTCGGATGCAGCAAAGGAACCCAGCTCAGTCCTGATATGCCCATGGTGTTTTTCAACTTCCAGAATGGAGTGAATGCCCTGGGCATTTACTGGCCTAGTCGCTCTGCTAAGCCAGTCTGAACACACTTGGAAGAATTGTGACTGTTCTTGGTTATCTATGCCACTTTCCCAAGCTATTTTCTCCACGTGTCTGCTGCATATCACTGTTGTATCCCACTGTAGTGAATGTCATGGTAGCTTGTCATTTCCTGATCAGATCTGTGGGCTAACTTTGCTTACCTTTGTCTACCTCTGTCTGAGCTGCATCCCAATCCAGTTATCTCCTTGCTAACCTAGGCTCCTTTTACATATCTCCTAGCCAACATAGAAGCTCAGCTGTGCTCTCTGGGTATGTGGTTCTATGTAGTTTTTTTTTCTTTTCATGTAAAGCATTTATACAGAAATACAGCCCTTGGGAAGAAATGTGCAAAAATGAGTTGGGGTAGGACATGTAACACTCATGAGAAAAAAATGGTAAGCGGGGCACCATTCGCTGACTCACGACCTTAATTCTAGCTACTTAGGAGGCTGAGATATGAGGATTGCAATTTGAAGTCAGCCTGGGCAGGAAAGTCCATGAAACTCTGACCTCCAATTAAGCACCAGAACAGCTGGAAGTAGAGCTGTGACTCAAGTGGTAGAGTGCTAGCCTCAAATATAAAAGCTAAAAGACAGTGCATAGGTCCGGAGTTCAAGCCCCAAGTTTGACATGCACACACACACACAAAAAAAGTGATATAAAGGATTCACTAATCATCACTAAAACAGACAAGTATATGTTCTTTTTCCTCTAGAAAAGTAGAACATATTTAGAAACTATACTTGCAAAACACCTTAATTATACATTTTTTAATGAACATGTATTGTAATTGTTGTAGTCACAAGTTTTCCTAATATGGTGTGAGGCAGGTCATGGATGGTGTGTTAAAGACATCTCTGTGAGTGGAAAATTCTAAACCTGGGAGACTAGCATCCCTCTTGGGCTTCAGGTAGGATTGTCACATTCATAACTGTGGTTTTTTAGCCATTCTGGCATAAATTGAACCCAAAAAGATGAAGCCAGAATTCTGTTTTTGTGTCACTTTTTACCTGTAATGCTTCTAGTCTCCTGGATTATAATTAATGGGGTTGATGCTTAGGTGACAGACACCTACCTGGCCAAGATAGTAGTGGGAGCTGCCAGTGCTCTGCAGTCTGAATGGGATGAAAGGGAACTAGAGAGGGGAGCGAAGATTCAAAACAGAGGTCCATACCCACACAAGGAACTTATTCACACAGCATCATGTTATTTACTCACGTGATTTGCATTATTCCTAAGGAGTCCCTTAGAAATGATCACACCCGAGCATTTCTCTTCTTCATCTGAGAATAACTATGCTGGTGCAAGTGGCCCCACCATACTAGGATACAAACTGGTTCCGAGCTTCTGAATCCTCTGAAAGGAGAGAAGCCCATACCACTCCTACTTTTCTGTGTTGCAAAGAATCCAGATCCAGACCTACAAATCAAAAGCTGATGTTCCTTGACAATTTCCACAGCCCTTGTTTCAGCCACGGGAAATATTTTGTCTTCTCGTGGGCCCTAGGGAGTGAACAGATGGAGTTAAAAATCCTTGCAGCCTCTGCTCTCCTGAAAGTCAACTTCCTTACGTGCAGAAGAGAAATAATACTAAGACCTCTTTTCTCTATAAAGAGGGGGAAATATTAAAATATGAACTGTTTGCCAAAGTATGTCCTTCCTGTGGCTTGACAAGGCTCTGGGTCCAGTCTCAAAGCTTGGGGTACGTGGAAGAGAAGTATGAGATTTTAGCACACTACCTGCAAGATCACACAGTTTGTTGTCATCACTATAGGAGGTATACATAGCATCTGGCACAGTAGGGATGAATACATGTATCAATCATCTAAAATTTACAGGGCATTCACTATGTGTCAGCCACTGTTCTTCGCTAAGGATACAGTAGATTTTATTTTCTTGAAGACAAAAATGGACACATGAAGGCTAAAAATTACTCATCTTATCTTATTTTGTTCTTTTCCTCAAAAAGTGTATTTGAGAAGAAAGAGTGAAAGGAAAGGAAAGGAAAAGGAATTTAAAAAAAAGGAAAGGTGAAGAATAGATACATTAAATGAATCTTCTTAATACCCTTACTCCAACACCAGGCCATTTTCTGCTCTGATGAGCAATCCAGGTGAGTTCTCAGTACTACACAGTGTGGGCTCTCACATGACCAACTGATCAGCAAGAGATGTGAGAGCGGGAGGAAAAAGTAGTTAGGCTACTTATTAGTTCAAATCCCCTTCTGATTGGACGAAGATCGCCCTGCCCTTTCTTTGTCCCTTCAGTTTAAGTGTTTGAAAGCTGAAATTAAAAGAGCTCTAAGATTTCCAGTCCCAAGTGCTTCACTACCTCGTCAAGGTCCCTTAGGCTCATCTACACCTCAGTGTACCATCCTTTCCTGAACCTCTCTTCAGTTCAAACCTTTATGTATGCCAACTGTTTCTTGACTGGTACAGTGAGGGACAAATACACTATCAAGCATTCTAAATCAGCCCTGCCATGAAAGGTTTAAAAAAAAAAAAGGAGAGAATAAAAAGGTTTAATCATGAAAACATTTTAAATTGATGTGATATTAGGCCAAGTCATGAAAAGAGAAATTGTAAGAAAGCATGATAAGCAAGAGCACTGCAGGTTGTTCAATGAATAGCCATCGTGTTCTGACTTGATGGGCGTCTATAGGCCAAGCGCTGCCTGCTTGACCCTCAACTTCAAGGAGCTCTTGGTATAGCCACAGCAATGACAAGCATGTCAATAGAAAGGAGGTGTTAGAAGGAAAATGCAGTGAGATCAGAGTATTAAAGAGATTGCTTATTCTAACAGTCTTTCTACCTTTGCTACAATAACAATCCACTTGCCCTTGCCCCAAATCTAGATACTAAAAAGGTTTACTTAGATAAAGGCAACGTCATATTATATAGCTAATGGGATGAAAACCACACAAGAAGCATTCTGAAAGGAGCTACCATTACTGAGTGCTGACTGTGTACCAGGCCCTGTGTGCTACTGGTCACAAAGCTCATCTCGTTTCTTCCTCACGACAGTCCTAGAGGATAGGTATCAGTGTTCCCCTTTGGCAGGTGAAGCTCAGGGATGCAAAATAATCTTCCTATGACACACAGCCAGGTAGTGAAGCTGAGTTCGTGTGCTTTACCCTCATTGGGGAGTTTGTCACCACCTCCCCTTCTCCTTCCAGGACAATACATAGTGCCAAGCAAGGTAGGAAAATGGTTACGTTTCCAGAAAGGCTGGGGAGGCATCACTGATCTAAATTATCCGGAGCCAATGACTGAGTAATTATTTATCAAAAAGATGTTCTGAGTAATTCTTTCCTATCTAACCAAGTTGATAAGTAGAAGGCATGTTAATGTGCAGAAGGCAGGAGCCCAGTGAAGGGAGAAAATTGGGAGAAGGAGATAGAAGAGAGCACTCTCCTTTCAACAGACCCTGGAGACTGATAAGAGCTCACACGGATAAAATATTTATTTTTCCATATGTTGCAGAAAGCACTGCCATTACTGTATGTGTGCAATATGTGCAAACAAGTGTGAAATATATACATCAAATGCTGCCGATCTAGTTAATTTCCATGCATTTCACATGCTTAATACCTACCATCTCCTCCATATGTTTTAATGCATATTTCTTTCCACATACAATATGGTCTGGTTAGGAAAGAGCCAACGTCTCCACAGCCTTGTTCACTGCTATGTTTCAGCCCAAAACTTGTTGTCAGGGCCAGCACAGACAGAGTTAAAAACCAGAAGGTTCTGCTGGCTAACTCAGCTGCCAGTCACCTTAAAATGCCTTTCCAGTTCTTGAAGCAGCCTTTCTCTCATAACAGAAATGTTCGCAGTGGGGAGATGAAAATGTTTTTGTTCTCTTTGGACAATTGGGAGATGTTCGGTCAGAGTGTCAGAACTGACCGTTGAAAAGCCAGTGCCTGCGGTCACACTTTTTATTTTTATTTTTTGAATGCAGAGCTCCACCAGTGTGGCGGGAGGTAGTGCACAGTGATTGGTCTGTTTCTCACTGGAAGTGTTCAGGGTACACCCAGTTTTGCTTTGCATATATTTACGAAACATCTGCCCTTTTCTTGTTAAGTCCTTCCCCCTCACCAGCTCCATTTCCCCTTTTCCCTGATTTCTTTCTTTGTTGTTGTTGGCTTATCTAACTTTTTTTGGGGGGGTGGGGGGGGTGGGAAGGAGCAGCTTTCATTTTCTGGTTGAGGGGTGACTTCATTAGCGTATATAATTTTAAACAGAGTGAAAGAAAAGAGAAAGAGAGAAAGAAAAGAGAGAGAGAGAGAGAAAGGGGTGAGAGGGAGCTGAAAAGAGACTGAGAGGCCAGAAAGAGCTTGGCAAACCAACCTTTGGCATGGTGACCAGGAGGAAGGCTCTGGTAGGAGTTTGCCTTGGAAACACTGCCTGGAGTCTGCTGCCCTCTGAAGGCTCCAGTGAATACTGCAGGGCCACGGAGGCTCAAAGAGGCTTGTCCTCGGATGAGCCATGTTGATAGAATTCCTTTTAGACAGCCGAAAAGGTATTTTTGATTAGTAACAACAAAGCTTGATCTTTCTTCTTACTAAAAATATATGCTGCCAAACAAGGGGAGGGGGTGGTCATGGAACAGCACCTGTGTATGTCAGACACACCAGTGCTGCTTTAGTGGTTCTCAACTCCAGCAAAAAAAAAAAAAAAAAAGGAGGAGTCTGAAAGGACCATGAGAGAGGTTGAGACAGGAAATGAATTGCTTTGGAAGACAGTAAGCAATTTCGTCTGTGCAGTTCGGAATCAGCCCAGTGGTAAAAATGGTAAGCAAAGCAGTTTAAGAAAATGGGGATTGAGCCAAAAGGGTTGGTTTTCAGTATATCCTATTTGTTGAGATGGTGGCAATGCCTCTGCACACTTGGTCTCCAACGGTGGCCCTTGTGGAAGCAAAGGAGCAGGGGCAAGATGTAGAAGGATACAGTCCAAGGCAGGAAGCTAAGACACTGATAAGAACAACAGTACAACCTCTTTGTTTTCCTTTGCCTCTTTAAAAAAAAAAAGGTTTCAATCCCTTCCCATCTTCTTACCATACTTACTTTCCATTTTCATGTAGGTATGCTATATTATGACTCTTTGCCACTCCTCTCTCCCACCATTCCTCTTCCCATTCATCTACTCCCCCCAACCCCTTCAGCCAAGATACATTTTAGCTTCCTGGTATTCATTTTGTTAAAAACTGTGTTAATTACTCAGAGAGGTTACACCATGGAATAACACTCCCTGTGTGCACTGGACTTTAGTCAGTTTGATCATAACAATACAGTTTCTGTGATGTTAAAATCAAAGGACATTGGTGGTTTTGCCATGGACTTATGCTTAAGAATGTCCTTCATTTCCAAACCCCACATCTGAAACTAGTGCAGGCCTTGTCTAGAAGCATTATAGTTAAACTTTTTTTCCCCTTCTGGATGATATTTCTCATTGGTGGGTTTTGACTCACTATGTACACGAATTATGAAGACTAGCCTAGTTCTACTCTGTAAAATGGTACTGCTCATAGTAAATGACTTTCATGAATTCAAAGAAAAAACAGCCAGTCTAGGTAGATTTCTGTTTTATAATATGTTTTTTATTGTAAAAATGCTGTACAGAGGGGTTACAGTTACATGAGAAATGAGTACATTTCCTGCCGAGCATTGTTACCTCCTCCTTTGTTTTTCCCCTACCCAGTCTAGGTAGATTTCAAAGTATAGGAGACAAGAACTTAACTGGAGTTGAAACAATGACTACTCACAGCTCCATTTCATGTCACTAACTCACAGTTCTTAAATGACAGCTTTGTGTATGTTTCTGCTTCACAGTATAGACTAGACAGTAAATTCTGGGAGAACAGGAACCAGGTTTATTTAATTCCTTAACTCATTCTGGCACATCATAGGCACATAGTAAATATTTGTAAAATGAATATATGAATAAGTGAATGATGAAAGGGAAGGAAGAGGGAAAGAATGGATGAACACAGGAAATATAAAAATAACTAAAACGTTTCCTTATCCTTAGAGTGGTTACTATCTTAGAAATGGAATAAGCACATAAATAACGGTTACTGAAATAAAGTTTAGTGAATAAAATGAGATTACTAAAAAGTAATGGAGGATTTCAGGGAAAGAGATGAGGAGAAGAAATACTATCAAATATGGAGGTATCAAGACAACTATAGGATGGAGACAGGATTTAGTAAATAGAAAGGGTAAGTTTGATTTCCACGGGCAGCTATAAGAATAGGGTGTTCAATAACAAGGTGGTATACAACTGTAATTCCAGCATTTGAGAGACTAAGGAAGGAAGGTTATGAGTTCCAAGCAGCCTAGGATATACAGGCAAAACTCTTATCCCAATAAAACAAAGTATATTCAAAGTAAGAAAGATAACCTGAGTAAAGGTATAGAGTCGTATATGTAGATCAGGACTTTCTAGGGTTAGTCAAGAATTTTGAGAGTCCTGTATGGCCAATATACAGAACAAACATAATAAGCTAGAGCACAGAAGGAACCGACCTTGAGCATCAGGCCAATGTGGTCATCTCAGATTTAACAATGCAAAGAAGCAAGACTAGAAGAATCACAGAGGCTTGTGTGCTAGTTAGATAATGGTCTTTCGGATAAAAAAGATGTTAAATAATTCCATGAAATTGGAAAGGAATCACAGACGTGGAAAATAGAAGACAGGAAGAAAACAGAACTGCCAGGACTCAATGTTTAACTGGCTTGAAGGCAGAGAAAGCCTGAGATTTCCTCCCAGCCACAGATGCAGAGATGGAAATGGGGATCCTGGAGGAAGCACAGGTCTTCACAGCAAAGGGGAGCTGGACTTCGGAGACTTTGATCTTGAATACTTTCTTAAATGAAAACCCAGAATATCTTATCTCTGGGCATCCAGGAAGATACTCCAGGTTTGGGGGCTAATTCTGTAGTCACTCATTCAGCTATGTAGTTTGCTGTTTCTCTTATATTTCAGAAAAAAGATGTCTGAAAGTTTCTCTTCTATTCTAATCTTTACCATGCTATTTCTGCCTTCTGCCCTCTGAAGAAACAGATTTGATTTCACAACCTGTTGGACCAAACACACAACATACTAATCATAACACCATATTCTGCGAGGGCAGACTTAACTACCCGGTACAACAAATTATAGAACGAAATATTCTGTATAACGCGTCCAATGCCATGCTCATAGAAACAAGAGAAGCATGGAAACAAATCTACTTACAACAAATTATGTACCACACATAATCTCCTCTCAAAAATATGCTTTCTCTGCTTACTCTCCACATAGTGAGCTAGAAAGACACAAAGTCAAGAACTAGTCTCTCATTTTCACTGAGGTCTAATGTATACATATTGTAAGCCCTCTTATTAATTACCATTATAAGCATATTCACCCCTGTTTGGGGTTAACAGCCTTCACCTTGGGTCATCCACAAGCCAGGCCTGCCCATTCCCATCCAAACTGCGTGTACTCCCAGTCAGCAACATGCTGCTACTATATAGGCCCATGCTATCTGGATACCCATTCCCAGTCACATGCTATTTCTAGTGTCCAGTTGAAAGATGCCCCATCCTGGCTATATGCCCGATATAGGATGTTTTTCCCTGGCTACAAGCCAGCTATAGAATGTCCTGCCCTGACTGTCTGATATCTCTTGTGTCCAGCTGTGACTACAAAGATTTCCTGCTCCCAGTCCCTTTGCATGCCTTCAGTCTCCTTAATGCCATACGACTACCACCCCTGCCTGAGAGCAGTTTGCTACTCTCTATTCCGAAAGAGATAGCCTGTCAGCTTTGGCTGACAATATATGCTTCTTTCTGCTACATAACTGTGTGTCCGTGCGGTTTTCTAGGTTGGTGCTTACAACCATCAGTTGTATTGTTCTGGAGAGAGAAGCCCTGGTTGACTTAAACAGCTGAATTAATCCTATTCCTGAACCTATAGCTGAACTTCCTAGTCTTAGCCCTAAATAACAGTTCCATTCTAATTCCTTCCACTCACCTCTTCCCCTCCTGCTGAAGGAACACACCATCACCCTCCTGAACTCCAGAAAGGACAACATTAAAACACAAAGGAATTTTAAGCAGAAGCAGAGTAGAGTGGGATCACCCTCTTGAACAAGTAGGACTTCAGCGGTTCAGATCACTTTTCACTTGACCTTCCGCCATTACCTGCTCTCATCCGTACAGTTTTTACAAGTTTAGATTGTGATTTGAAGTTACGTATTGATTTGAAAAAAGAAAAAACAAAATGTTAACAGCAAGGAAGTTGAATGTTCCATAATGTGTTCCGGGAAATGAAACTTAAAGCTGGAAGGAACTGCTAAGGCCTAATCTGAGACCTTTATTTTACAGATAAGGAAACTGAAGCCCAGAGAGGTGAAGTGAGGTGCCCAAGGCTACACAGCAAGTTAGAGGCACAGCTAGTACCATAGCTCAAGTCTCCTGACTCCCAGTCCAGTGCTCCTCCCATTACTCCACGGGTCCTGTCTCTAAGCTTCCTGACAAATGCTAGAACGGTAAACCTCCACTAGTATTTTTCCAGACCATGTTAAAACTCTAAAGGGGGTGGGAGGGAGGATGCTTTCTTGGATAATGTCAGCCATACGTAGCTCAAGCTGTCTAAAGTTCTGGGACAGGGTCTTTTTATACAGCCAACAGAGTCCAAATGTGGTGCTGTTTGCTTGGCCCATATGCTTTCATGTGTTCCCAGTTAGGCCATTACTGGAGGGGAAAAAAAACAAGAATCAGCTTGTTTTAAAACAAGGGACATACTGGACTCCCTCCCATCCCCCTTCAGAAAAAAAAAAAATCAAGTTATCTTTAACAGATTCTAAAAATGCCTTTTCCCAAATATGCAGTCAGTTCCTTCAAAGGGCCCTTTGTTTATTTTCAGGAAGAAACCCAAGACAGCTGAAAACCAGAAGGCATCTGAGGAGAATGAGATTACTCAGCCGGGTGGATCCAGCGCCAAGCCGGGCCTTCCCTGCCTGAACTTTGAAGCTGTTTTGTCTCCAGACCCAGCCCTCATCCACTCAACACATTCACTGACAAACTCTCACGCTCACACCGGGTCATCTGATTGTGAGTACACCAGGAAGGTGATGGTGTCTTCGCAGTGCTTAGAGTAGTAGTGCTTCTCCCCTGGGGCCTGGCTGTTTTACATTCAGAGCAAGCTGCTTCCATTTGGTCTTCTAAAGTAGCCAAAAGCACCGTGCCACCATTTTGATTCAGCCATTTTATATGTTCAAAGCGAGATTAGATTTAAAAGGCAGGTAACCAGCCATTTGGCTCCAAAAGGCTGATTAATTACAAGAGCCATGTTTTCTTTCATAATTTTTCACTCAGAAAAAGAAGTCACATTGCTGCTTTCTAATTATTCTTCCTCCAAATAAAGGCACTTTCCACCACTATTAAATGAAACAACCAAGTATGGACCTCAGGCCAGTTAGACATAAGGAAACATCCATTTTGAAATTACATAACACAAGTCAGATCTGTATTAGTTATTGGAGTCTCATGTAGCTTGGCTGAATTTCTGTCTTTCCAGTTTTTAATTTATTTTGAAGTGGTTAAAGGATAGCATAAATTTACAGAAGAAAAGAGAATGGCTTCCAAGAATTCAAAAGCCACCCAGACATCACATAGCCAATAAGAAGTCAGGTTAAAAATATTTTTTAATTAAAAAAACTGCCTGAGGGCTAAATTTGGAAATGGGCAGCTTAATGAGATCGTCACTACTGAAATCACTGCTTTGCTGTTTATTTTTGCTGTCTCCTCACAAATCTGGAAGTCACTTCCTCCATTCTATTTTAAGAAAGTTGATAAATCATGTTAGGAGATTTTTTTTTTCTTTCTGAAGGTAACCTGATACCTCAGAAACACATGTGTTGACAGCACCATTCTGAAAGACAATTCCTTTTAGTTTTAAGACACCCAACAACTTCTGAGCTGATCTCCACACAGGATGTCTGGGAACTAGCACAAAGCTGGCATGTTCTTCAGAATAAGTAAGAAAAGACCAAGAAAGTTGTATTTCACAAAAAATCATACCACGTTTCTACTTGCAGAGACAAAGGTTATTCATTAGGAAGTGAAGTTCGAAACCTCTTTTTGTTATTTTTTAAGATTCTGGGAAGGGGGCTGGAGGTGACTGGATCTAGGAGATTCCATCCACTACTGCTTCATCCAAGTCGTCTTTATCTGAAAAGATGAGACATAGGGGCAGGCAGGGTGTGAAGAGAACTTTTTCTACAGATGCCGGGACAGAGACTACACTCTAACTGTCATGAGAAAAGGGAAAGCAAAACAAGTAAATCCAAATCTCTACAGTCTGTGTGATTTGAACAAAGTTGCAGCTTTCACAGAGACATACAGGGGTCAGAAGCAGGGATTGTGTTCTCTAGTCTGTCAGCATAGTCACACCCTTAGACTTCCTTGACTGGCCGTCTCCTGCCTAATAGTAATTACAGGAAGAATTGGAAAATAGCATGGCATCAGGCCTACAGACATATGCACATGGTGCCTACATAGCGGGAAGGTGGCCTGTGTCTGTGATGAAGGGGCTGGAGCTTTTGCATGCAGATCTTCATGGGTTGGCTTTCTGCCATGCCTGACGGGGTAGGTTACACAGTATGGCCTTCACCCAGAAATCTCCTGTTACAGCAAAATGAATATTGCTGGATAGAAAAAAGCATTGAGTTTCCTATAATCGTACTTTACTATGAGCATCCTCCGGCCAGGCCTTACAAGTCTTACTAGCACACACAGTTGGAAGAACAGTGGGAGGATGCTGGAACCATAGACTCAGAAGAAGCCAGCAGAGCAGACCTCCATAGGGTGTCTGAATGCAGTTGGAAGGAGAAAGAATGGGAGGAGAAACCTAATCTCCAGCTGTTTAGAAAGTCATTTTGATTTTGCCATTAAGATGTGTAATTCTTTTCTGCTCCAACCTGTTGTTTAAATTGATTTTACATTTCTCTAAACGTATTTGGATCGTAGTTTGTCCTGATTTGAGCCTACACTTAGAAGAAAATTGTTTTTAGGAAAGATTCACAGAAATCTGTCCATTTGGAGATTGCTTGAGAGAAGACAGGAAAGAAGTTTATTTTAAGCTGTTAAAAATTTTGGATGCTCTTCTTGCATTCAAGAAGGTTTTTTTTTTTAACTTTTAAATGTCATTCTTACCATAGATTAATTTAAAAGCTTAATTTCTTTAAGGTAAAATATTCTGTTACTATTTAGAACTAACAGATTTGGGGCATTTAAAAATAGTGCCCTTGACTTGTTAGTCTCTTTAGCTTCAGGAACATTCCACCCCGTGTGTGTTGCCTGACTTTCACAAGTGCCTGAATTTTTATGGCACCTTTTTATTTGTCATGTATTTAGCAAAATTATTCTTAGTCATGCTTTAATGCCCATTTTCTGTCAGTCAGCGTGATTCTTCCCCATTTACAGATGAGAAAACTGAGAAAAATGGCAGCCAGTTAGATGAATGAATGACTTGTCCACCGTTAAACTCCATTAGGTACTGAGGTGTATTTATAAGTTTGCTCTCATTGTGAGCAGCCAAGCTTCTCTGTGCAAAGAGATGGCATTCCTGGCTATTTATAGTGATGTTAGAAATGTGTAACTACTCATATTGGTGAATGGATCGTAAAACACACACTGGATAAATCATCCCCACAAAAAGAGAAGTCATCTCTGCTATGAACCAGCAAGGTTGTGCAAGCCACAGTGCTTTTGCATAGGAAGAACTCAGGCCAAGCTTCAGAGCAAAGACCTTAAATTCTCAGTCAGCTACTTAATCTGCTGAGCCACTTCGAATTTGGCAAAAACATCCCAGTAGTATTCAAAACAAGAACGAATAGAGTTGAGCTATGCATTCTTTTCCAAGGCAATGCTGTTAACACTGAAATGTGTGCGACTTTGCAGTATACCCACTAACACAATTTCAGCAATATTCCCCCCCATTACCTCCTAGCTTGTCACCTCTACATCATTTTTCAAAACGTAATGGCAAACAAATTCAGATGATGATAATGGCAGGCATTAAGAGGAGTATGGGAAGGCAAAGGGTAGAAACCCCTAGGTGTTTGACAGAGCAGTTAACCACTGAACAGGCTGAGCACGTGCTGAGCCAAACCCTCCCTTCAAACGCTTAAGCAGGACTAAACCAAGTCAGTAGAGCAGACAAAGCTCTCCATATGAAAAACCTTTCTTGACAACTATCAAGCTGTAGCACATCACAGTCATATTCATGTGATAGACACCACCAGAACTTGTACTTGCATATTTCTTCCATTTCTTTTATTCCCCCCAATATGGCTCCATTTGAAGGGAGCTTCTCCCTCTGGCTACTCCTTTCATCCTTAGCTGTCGATCCACCTAATCAGATACCTTTTCTTTGGGTGGAAGCAGATAATGTGTGGTTACTTACCTTCCCATGTTTTAGGCTGGACTCAGACTGTCTCGTTTTTGTGTGTGTGTGCCAAGATGCATTTACACATTAACAGTTTTTATTTATTTTTAATTTAACCTTTACACATTACCAAACTGTTGTGTGGGTGGGTTTAAGTTTAGCCTGATTCTGTTGGGAGCTGAACGCTCTCGAGGAGACTGTGGGCTCTTCCTTTTCCTCTCTCTTTTTTTTTCCAATCCACCTTCTTTGACCTCTTCTCCTCTCCCTCCCACCCATCAACTCCTCCCTTCGCCCATCCAAGTCCCTGTGATTAAAATTTTTAGTACACTTGGCTCATTTTGAAGTTTTAAGCAATTTTTGAGAGAACAAAACAAAGAGGATTTTTTTATGGCAAACTTCATTAATGCCACATTAAGGCTGACATTTTAATTACCCCCAAGTCAGGAAATGCAAAGTTCAGGTTCCCACAGCAACAGAAACTGGCCTCTTGAGTGTGGCATCACAGCAGATTCTTTCATTCTCTGATTACACAACACCGGTCGTGGGGACATTGTTTTTCTCCACGTATATGGAAAGGAGCAGAGCTATAATCCTTTGTTTCGTTCCTGTAACTACAGTTGAGGATATGGGTCTTTAGCTTCCCTCCCCAAACCATCTATACGTATTACCCTGAAACGGAAGACTGTTATAGCCCTGCATGTGCACACGGACAGAATTAAAGTTGCTGTGGGAACATTAACTCTGATTTCCGGACTTCCGTGCCAGTCACATTTAAACCATAATGTTGTAATTTTTGGCATGTAATAAATGTGCATTTCATGTACACAGACAGAAAGAAGCATAAAATGTATTTTAAAGAGCAATTAATTACTAACTTTGTGATTAAAAAACATTTGGTGCATGTTCCTTCCCATTTAGCATCAGCTGCTGGTCTTAGCCAGGCCTAATAGATGACATACTGTGTCTCCTCCTGGATCTCAGATGTACTTACTGTATGTTCCTGTTCTTCTAGATAATTAATTCCCTTAGTAAAAGCTGTAGGGGGAAAACAAAATGGAAGGAATATGCAAGCATGTAAATAGGGTAAAGGACATTTTGAAGGAAGTGATTCATTTCTGCAAATAAACCTCTTAGTCCCTGATAAAGAGCCAGAAATCTGCTAAGTGGGTGTAGACAAAGGTTTCTGGACACCTTAGAGCATCTGGTCCAGGGCCATAAGAACAACTTGAGAGCAGATTTCCCCCACTAATTCCACGCATGCCCAGTATAGGAGTGATTTCACTCTGTGATAACTTTTTGAGGCTTCAGGCTTAAAGTTCTTTTACTAGGCAACATCTCTTTAGTTTATATTCCAAGTGCAAAGGATAAATTGTAGGAAAATTAGGTGAGAGGTAGGCTTTACTAGTGAACCTCTTCTTTAGAGAGTAATATTTATTTCTTCCTTTACATTTCAAGCTGATGGTCCAATTTGTATGAGAGAAGGAAGTGTCTCAAAATAACAATTTGAACAGGTTTGAGAGTGAAAGGAATTAGCAATACTCTATGGCACAACATTTTGCAAAGAATGTACTGTATTCAAAACTGGATGAGATTGAAATTTTACTTAAAGGTTAGAGCTTAAACTCCCAAGCTAGGCCTTTTGAGGGACCACTCAATGAAGATC